CATCCCCAGCAGACATCCCTTATTGAGCACCTACTGTGTTCTAGGCTCTGGCCACAGCAGCTGTCAGCGTGAGGATGAACAAGCTCAAAAGCCCGGTGCCCGTACACAGCTCCCAGGCAGGAGCTCCGCCCTGCTGTGATGGCGGCCAGTGACGCCTGCACAGTGTCACCCTGTCACTTGGGTCTGGGGAACCTAACATCTTTTCTCTGTTTGCGGGAAACTCTACCTAAAGGGAAATCTTTTTCACAGTAACTTCATGAAATAATTTGCACAGAAAGTACATGAGTACATCGAAATTGAACCTCTTCTATCCGTGGCCGTGAACTTCCTGCCCTTTGTGCATCAACTATTTTGTTCCTGTTTTTCCAGTGACAGCCCCTCCCTGCCTGGGAGGGTGGTGGACGGAGGCAGAGGCTGCCCCTCCACTAGGCAGCCAGCTGCACTGCACAGCTGTGGGCACCTGCTGGAAAGCGGGCACCACTCACTTCAGGTTTCCTGGCAAGGAGCTTCTCGCTTAAATTTATTGCTGCCTCCGTTTCTGTCTCAGTTACCTGAGTCCTGGGGAGCCGCACAAAATGTGGATGTGAGGGGCCCTTCACAAAAGGACCGGCGGTGAGAGGGCGCTTCAAACAGGACCAGGAGCGCTTTTTTTGTATCCTTTGGCTTGGATTCCTAAAGCCTGAAAAACGGCTTCACCGTGATGCTTGGGGCAAATTCAATGCTATCGGGAGACACTGCAGTCTCCTCACTGTTCAATTAAAGCCAAAGCCTCAGGGGAGCTGACGGAGAAGGAATTCCCCCCGTGCACCTCTGTTCTGCCTGCTATCCTTCCCACCTCGGCCCAGCTCGGGTTACAGGGGTGTCATTCAGCAGCAACCCCTTCAGACCTGTGTGGACTCAGCTTTGTCTTCAGGGCCAAAACGGCCTCTAGTTGTGCTCCCTGGGGTCTGGCTGCAGGTGGATGGGCTGTCCACACCTGCGTGTGGAGGACCTGGTGACAGAATGGCAGCCCAGGGAGCGGGCCAGGGGACAAAGCCACAGCGAGCCTTGCTGGGCCCCAGGAGCTCCCTGGCCAGTGCTCTTGGCCGCACATTTGCTGTAGAGAATAATAACAGCAGGATTCAGTGAGGTCCGCTCTGTCTGAGACCCCCGGTTAGGCACCTATTCCACACTGCCTCTACTCCAAGAAACAGTTCTACAAGCAAGAGTTTATTATCCTCATGCTGCAACTAAACTGAGGCTCAGAGAGGTTAAGTCATTTGCCCGAGGTCACACAGCTAGTAAGTGGGGATGTGGAATGCCAACAGTACCCGGTCCCCCTGCCGCCTGTATGCCCCACACTGCACGGCCTCCCCATCAAAACTCCAGTCAAGGAGAGTATGTTACCTGTGGATTTTAGGCCAGGACAGGCCCAGCACCACCTCAGCTCAAATGCAAATGCAGCTGGTTTGGACAGTGGGCCACCAGCAGGTTACACCAAAGAGTCATTGGCAGAATTCTCCAGTTTTAATTATGCAAGTAGTTCTTACTATAGAACACGCTAAAAGGAAAATTAATCCCAGAAACCATATGATGACATAGTAAATTTTTATAATGGTTTGTCTACCAAACTGTTACGTAGGTACACACACATCACCTAACACATGGAGGCATCCTCTGGGGGGCTGGCCCAGACAGCTCCAGGCAGTGAAGCAGACACCCCCAAATTCTCAAAACTTCTTCCAAGTGAGCCAGAGCCACTCACATACCACAGCTGTGTGAACAGCGCCCACTAGGACTCCACCTAGAATTAAGCAAAGCCTAATTCTGATGAGAGTAAAATGCATACAAGGGGCAGAGCCCTTGAGACCACCTGCCCTCAAAACTGCCTCTCAACCTCGCCTTGACCTGGCCCTGCCTCATGGGGGCGCTAGTGAACAGTGAGAACAGACAGCTGGCCCTGTTGAAGGACTTTGGAGACACCCTTCCATGACCTCATTGAGCAATTTTTTATAGACTGGAAAATTAAAAGCCAGTGACCCATGCTAAGAAAGGCCATGAGTGAGTGGTAGAGACAGGCAGTGACTTTGTTGTTTGATTCCCGCCTCCAATCGAAGCTCCATTCAGTACCGCCTCTAGTTCACACATGAGAAGATGGGGTCACTGGACCACTCACCACTCCTACCTCTGCAGCTTTGAGCAAGACATGGACTCCTGCCAACCTCGGGGGCTGGCAGCAGCTGGGAGGGCTGTTGTGGAACCTTCCACGCTGCCGTGGAAGCCTGTGAGGAAGAGCGGGCACCCCACCTGCACATGGTGGAGACATGCCCCATGCCAGCCTTTCTCCCTCGGCCCCAGAGCAGGCTGCCCAAGGCAAAGACCTTTCAGAGGGGACACCCGTCTGCCGGGTCATACTGAATGCCTGAGTTGTACGATGGTCATTGATCATTTCCAGGCAGAAACCTTGTCAATTCTGCGCTTGGATTTAATAGACCCACAGGATGAAGCCCTGGCCCTTGTGTGATTTTCACATGCATATCAGCAACACTCACAGAAGACACGGAAGGCCTTCCTGGCACTCACGCAAGGCTGAGTCCATAGCAGCAGTGACTCAGTGGGGCTGACTCTGCAGCCAGCAGGGCGCAGCCACCTCAAGAGATGCAGGGGAGTGAGGTGGGCTCCTCCATCCATCTGTAGTTTCCTCCCCAGGAATCCAACAGCCCTGCCCCAGGCTCTCCTCCCCGGGAAGGAATAGGAAGATGCCTGTCTTTCCCTGCTGAGTACAGCTAGTGCTCGACTTACGACCACGGTTGGGACCGCGGACCGGTCGTAACATGATTTGGTCGTAAGTTGAGTAGGCTATATGTACAGTTGAAATGGTGCACGCGGAGATGGTAGTGCTGCCAGAAGCTGGTCTGCACTGTCGTATGCCCAGCTGGGCAACGTTTTCACTGCCAGACACGGAGAAGTCGTGGCTAGCGATTGTGGTCGTAAAGTCGAATGGTCATAAGTTGCATAGGTGGTAAGTTGATCAATACCTGTATTTGTTTTACAGTAGGTGGCACCATGGCCAGTGGCCCCAAAAAAAGATATGAAGAGAAAAGAGATGTTGGTGTGTAGTCTGCAGTGCATGTCAGCAGTCAGCAGATGTATCCTTTTTTTTTTTTTTGAGACAGA